TTTTTTTTTTTTTTTGATTTATTATTGTTAACACGTTTATTGCCGACACTTTTTACGTGATTTTTCTACCACGCCTACACTTTTTTTCTATTATGGGATGCATATTTTGTTGAAATTTTGTTTACAACTAATAAGCGGTGTTGTATTATTGTGTTTGATTTATTTTTTATGGTGAGGTCAGCGATGACTGTCGAGGCGCTGTAGGCCTTTTTATGATTATTTGTTCCCTCTAAATACGGATAAGATTGAGAAATTTATAGCGACGAATAATTCCTGACCCTGACGATTGATTCTATTTTCAGAGGACATATAAAAATATTAAGGGGACCAAGTTCCACGAAAAAATATATTACATTTACTCAGTTTATAAAAGTCACAAACCCCTTTGAAGAACCTACAACGGATTCTTTGGTATTTTCGTAAAATTTTTCTATTTTACATTTACTTCAAAATTTTATTTTTGATTGCAAACATCTGAAAATAGATAGTTTTCAACAAGTACTTGTGTTATAAATTCAATTGTGTTATAGAAACAAGTAACTCCTAACTATAATTTTCCTTGTAATAAAAAAATTATTTTTGCATGCTCTGTATGTCATAAGTTTCTTCAAACCCTTATAAAAACAATGGTATATTTAAAAATTTATCAGAATCGATATTTACTCAAATTATATATTTTTACTAACGGTCGTGTTGAGGTCACCGGTGATCTCACGGCAGTTAACGTATTAATTCGAAATAAGAAAGGTGTTACGTAAAAACGTAACGAAAGGAATGAATCGAGCAGCAAATTTCTTGACACAGTTCGGACCGTGAGAATCGCACCACAAAGATGCAGAGGAAAAAATAATTCTTCTCACTCAAAACTAATAACTTTATATGAAACTAAAAACTGACCATATGATACTTTGACTTCTGCAAAAAAAATCAAATATCCTCATTATAACCAATTTACCGATAAAAGAAATTTAAGTATCACTTGAGTTATTTTGTAATATATTGAATTTTTATTGTAATGTGTTTATTTTTAAGTTTTTTTGTGAAATTGCATCTTTTATAATTAGGAATACGAATACCGATATACTAATTAAAAATTAGAAACGTATAGTTTTAAGAATTTATTGTTTCTTTTTACGCGGTTAATTATTACAATTGTTTAATAAGAACATAGTATAGAAGACTGATGATAAATATTATCTCTTGTTAAATCTCAAAAAAATAGGTTCCGCTGATTTCAAAGTTATGCCGAATATTAGATTAATATTTTCAATTGATAATGCATCGTCTATTCGAACGGCAAATTTTCTCAATATAGTAGCAGCAATTGCCTTAATTGTGATCATTGCAAATATTTGTCCTGAAAAAGCGATATTCAATAAAAATATACTTAGCTGATCAACTAATTAGAATATTATTTCAAGAATGAATAAACCTGTGCTTTTACCTATGCATCTTCTTTTCCCAAAGCTAAACGGGAGAAAACATTTAGGATTGTAATTTCCTGGCAAGAACCGATCCGGATTAAATTTTAAGGGATCGGTCCAATATTTATCTTTTCGGTGAAGTGAAAATATTGGAAAAAATACTTGACAGTTTTTTGGTAATATCACATTTTCGTTCGCTTAATAAAATAAATATATACATATTATTACTACATAAAACAGTAAGGACAACAGAAGAAAAGAATAAACAAAAAATATTTCATTATATGTAAAAATACCTTTTATATCGCTACATAGTGTTCGCCCAAAAACTGGAACACCAGGAAAAAGACGTAAAGTTTCTTTGATGACTCGTTCCAGATATTTCATTTTCTTAGTATCTTCCATTGTAAAAGGAACATCTACAGGATCGCTTGAGCCGTACATATCGTACAACTCTTCGTATACTTTTTTCTGGAATCGAAAAAGCCGAATACATGATTCAAGTTTTGTATGAAAATATAATTGATTTTTAAAAAATAATAACTAATATACTTGAATGTCCGGAAACGTGGCAAGCATTAAAAATAAATATGTAAGTGTATTAGCGGCAGTATCACTTCCCTAAAAAATAATAAAAATGAAAAAGAAATTTTATAAACTCATAAATAAATGACTCTTACTGCAATAACTATAGTATTTATTTCATTATAAATATCTGTCTCCGAATATTCTCCTGTCTCGTAAAATGACTTAAATAAGGCGTCTAGGATTGGATTGGTATTTTTTCCTTTATTTAGAGGAGAATATTAATCTATTAATAATTGTTATTATAAAAGGTATTTATCCATAAATTCATTACTAAAAAATTATTTTTTAAAATGATTATTCTTACTTGCATGTAGATCTTTTCCTTCTCGGGTAAAGTTATCTTCATTCATTGACTCCTTTTTTTTCTTTATAATCTTAACGAATAAAAGTTATATATACATGAATAAATTATTATTTTACTTCAAACTAATATATTTTTTTAATATTAGACAATTTAAAATAGAAATGGTTTGTTGTTATTCTTACCTCGTTCGTTATTTTATTAAAGTGGGACATAATCTCATGTAGCCGTTTGCCCATAGATGAATTGTTAAATATAATACTTGGATGTAACCAGAATTTCGTTATTCTTTGTATAGTTATTTCTAGCATTCTAAATAAAAATAAAATTCACAATAAGAAAACAAATATGCAATAATATTAGATTACACTATAAATTTAAGAATATTCATCTGATTATTACTGATTATTACATATATTTATCAAGTTTACAATCCGGATTGCTCTACAAGTTTAAATCACTTTCCAATACGCCATCTATCAGTATAAAAAAAATAATTTTTAGAAAATTTTACTGTGCTCATACACATTTTTTAAACTTTTCAGAATTTCCAAATCTCACCATATACTATGTCTAATGTACATAAATGTACATAATGCAAGAAATCAACTTTTTCCCCGTTAGTAGTTTCTAAAATGTTAGCTAGTCTGTTTGACTTTTTGATTATTGAGTCCATATAAATCGAGAGCATT